AAGAAAATGGTGATTAAAAAAAAGTTAAGGGGGGCGCCTGGGTGGCTCAGTTGGTTAAGCGACTGCCTTCGGCTCAGGTCATGATCCTGGAGTCCCGGGATCGAGTCCCGCATCAGGAGTCTGCTTCTCCCTCTGACCTTCTTCCCTCTCATGCTCTCTCTCTACCATTCTCTCTCTCTCAATAAATAAATAAAAATCTTAAAAAAAAAAAGTTAAGGGGCGCCTGGGTGACTCAGTTCGTTAAGCGACTGCCTTCGGCTCAGGTCGTGATCCTGGAGTCCCGGGATCGAGTCCCGCATCGGGCTCCCTGCTCAGCAAGGAGCCTGCTTCTCCCTCTAACCCTCCCCCCTCTCATGTATTTTCTCTCTCTCTCTCATTCTCACTCTCTCAAAAATAAAGATAAATAAATCTTTTAAAAAAAAAAGTTAAGAGCTTTTGAAAAGGTGAAATAAGGTAACATGCAAATTCCCAGCACAGTGCCTAGCAGAGGTTGGTTGCTCATCAAAAACTAGTTTTTCTTCCCTTTTTCTTTCCTGATCACTAACTTCTGACTTTCCTGCTCCCCACGAGCTCATTCTCTGTCAGTGTTTAACCACTGCCACAGATGGGTTCTCTGATTTCATCCAGGCAGATCATATTCTTGGTTTTTTAGTGGCACCTGAAAGAGGATTCTTTTTCCTACACGAGGTTGGCTGAAAGCCTTGCTTGGTCTACTTCCCATATGCCTAAACCAATATCTTGGACATTACCATGCCAGGGAGAGATGAGACAAGACTCACCAATGCCAGAAAAAAAATGAGCACAAGTCACACTGCCAGGACAGACTTAGTTATACCCACAAGTCTCCAACCCCCACCCACCTCCCCAAAACATGATCAAATCAGGGTAACAGCACTTCTTTCTCCTTGACAAGGTGGTACGTTTTTGTTGTTGTTGCTCAAGGCCAGTCCTGGGGGAAAGAGTGAGGAGGGTAGGGTGAAGTCCATTAGCTGTCCTCCAAAATCCATTCGTCCCTTCCATAGTAATAGGGATTTGGCTGGGATGTGACTGCCCAGATAGGAACCTCATTTGCCAGCTTGCCTTGCAGCCAGTTGTGGTCACGTTACGAAGCCCTTGTCAGTGGATGTGAGCAGAAGGGATGTGCATCTTTTGCCTTGCTTAAGAGTAAATCTGTGGCCCTGGAATTCTGTTCCTTCTCTCTCCTCACTATCTCGAAATGCCCCAAGCAAAGTGAACTTGGAAGCCACGTGTTGAAGATGGCAGTCATTATCCTCAGTCCCTGAATGACTGAGCAGAGCAGAGCCATCCACCTACTTGAAATGCTGCCTTGGACCATACTGCATTGGACCTCCTAGTCAAATCCTTAAAGTTCTTCAAATCCTTCTTCAAATCTCCAGGAAACATCCACCAATATTTCTCTTTCCTCTTCTTGACCATCACTTGTAATATCTGTTCCCCACATTTTCTGGTACTTAACTACTTTGTTTCCACCGTGGTTCTGTTTGGTTCTTTATTGATGTGTGCCTCTTGTCCGTTAAACAGAAGGAGATCCTAAGATGTGATACCTTTGGCTCTGCTCCCATTTCCCTAATAGCACATCTGTAGTGGACACTGATGGAGCCCAAAGAGCCCCCCTTCCCCAGTTGCTGCGGGTGTTGGCTGCCATCAGTTTGGAGCTGTTCCCTTCTCCAGAGATTTGGCCTCAGCCAAATGGGAGCACCTCTGGGAGGTTAAGTACCCTCCCTAGCAGCCAGCAGCCAATGATGTGTGACACGGGTCAGAAAATGATAGCCACAAAAGGTGGGGCAATTCTGTGATGACTACTGAGCTTCAGAACCTTCCTGAGGAGCCAGGGTGTTGGAAACCTCCAACCAAGACAACTTCCTTGGTTAGCTTTCTTCCACTGTGCTAGGCTGCAGTAGCTCACACGTGCCACCTGTCTCCAGAGAATTGCCTTCAGCTGATGAGATCCTCCTTACAGTCCTCCTCTTGTCCGCCTTCCCCACCAGAGTGGCCCACAACCAATGCCTCATTGATACGAGGGCATGAAAGACCAGCCCCCTGGCCTCAAGGGGGTATAGTCCTGCTGTGCGGTTTGTGCCCCAGTCACGTAGACTAGTTCCCTGTGGATCAGGCCAGGGCTAGACATGACGTGAGACACACTTTGTTCTTTATCCCTTGCAGGTTTTTCCTGAAAAGTGCCCCACCAATAAATGCCTGTCTCAGACTGTTTCTAGGGAAGCCAACCTCAAGCTAAGGGCACCAGTGCTCTGCTATCATTTCCCCAGATCACTTTCCCATTCACTTCTAGGGACTATTCAGATCCACACCCTGGGTTGGGTGTGCCATGGTGCCAAAATTGGGTTGAAGGTGGTGCAGCAGTTAGAGGAAGAACTGGTGGGCTCTACTGAAGTAATTATAAGGAATACCTACTAATTAGGGCTGTTATGAAGGTATTAAGAGCCAAATGAGTTAATGTGTATAAAATGCTTAGACCACCAGCTCACATATAGTAAATGCTCTTAAGTGTTAGGGCAGGGGTTTCTTTGATCTTTTTTACTTATGAATCCCAAGAGTGCCGAGATGTGTGCTTGGCACATAGGAGGCCCTGTTGAATGAGTGCTTATTGGCTCAACTGATGTGCTGGGATCTGGCCAGCAGAGGGCAGAACCAGTGCAGATAAAATATCCTGTGCACAGAGGAGGAAGTGCCATTGATCTCCAGACAGTTGGGGCTGGGGGGTAGAACTGGGGGTAGGGGAGTACTGAGGTAGATTGAGCCCCTACTTTGTGAATTCAGACCAATAAGTAGCTCTGGGTCCGGAAGTTGCCCTGGTGTCTGTAGCCCTTCTTTTGAACTTGTGACCAACCACTCCATGCTCCCCTCAATAAATCCCCTTTTGTGTTAATGCTAATATACATTGGGTTTCTGCAACTTGCAAGCAAAAGAACTTATATTCTCTTATTATTAATCCCTATAAGTGTAAGGACTGTGTGGAGGGGAGCCACTTCCATGGGGAGGGACGCTGAAGTCCCAGAGATGCCACACTGGGCCTGCTTCCTGCTCAATTTCTCAGCCAACCAGTCTTTAAGAGTGTGGTTTTACCACATTTCTATCCACAAGCTTCCTTTGTCTTGTTCTCTTCTTTCACTTTGCTCATTTAGATCAGTCCTATCTTTCAAAACCCGGTTCAAATTCTACCTTTCTGTGAGTTCTCTAAATCTACTCAATCTCATTTCTTAAAACGCTTCTAGCCTGACCGTTCCTATAGTTGATTGCATTTCCTATTTTATTTGGGAGTTTGGGCTGGGTGGTCTCTAAAATCCCATTCAACTGCAGATTTCTGAATCTGCTGTCTTCCCATATGTCAGATCTTCTAAAGTAGGTCTTTGCCTTCTCCTCCAAGAAGAGCTAAGGAAAGGCTTGAGCACACAGGGGGCTCAGCACAGATTTGTAGGGAGTGAACACAACTAACTGCTCATGGGAGTGAATGTGTTCTGTGATCATTCAAGAAACACATAGGCATTTATTTTTATTTTTTCAAAGTGGAAGTAGCTTCCCCCTCCCCTTATTATACAAGCAAAATATTTATGGTCAAATAAATCAAATATTACATAAATTTTTTAAGTAGGAAAGGAAGATCACCCACAATCCTTCCCTTCAGAGATAACAGCAATTAAAATATTCTTTCAGAGTTTTTGCTATATACAAATATGTATGTTTCAATAGGGCCTTCTGGACAGAACAGTGGGAGCTTCCAGCCTGGGATTTGTAGCTTGTAAGGTATTCACGCGCCGCACTGCACGTATTAGACTGAACCATATGAAAACTACTGATAGTCAGCTGCTTTTTGACCTACAAACACAATTTTATGATTTAACCCAATGTCTGTGAAGCCCAGAATGTCAGAACTGGTAAAGCCCTTAGAGACTTTCAAGTCTAACTACTTCATTGTGCTGACAAGGGAAAAGGATCAGAGAGAGAAGTAACCAGCCAGTTCACGTCCCAGAATCCTTCCACTGAACCAGGTACCTGCCTTTCATACTCTCCTCCTTTTAATTTGATAACCTTCTAGGTGTGATAGTAATCTTCGAGAAGCAGGTTTCAATTTGGTATCAGAAAACTTCTCGCAGAATTTCATCAAATCAGAAGAGGCTGTGTTAGAGAGAATGGCTGGAGATGTGGCTGGGAGGGGCACGGTGACACAGCTGGAGAGGCACATGACCCATGGAGCTAAAACAGGTCACCATTCAGGGCCCTGCACTTGCATGGCTCCTTAGCATCATAGGAGGGGTCCTAGTAATATATTCACATGGTAATATGTGTTTTCATATTTGCAAAAGCAGGCTGTTTTTGAATTCTTTTTCTTAGGGAGGGCTCCCAGAATTGTAGACGTTTCAGGCCTGGATCCTGTCCTGTGTGGCGCAGATTTGAAAAGCACTAGGCAAGTAAACCAGAGTTCCTAGGTTCTAGTTATGGCCCTGCTCTGGCCCAAATGGCCAGAATGGTACTTACTTTGCTTCCCTCACAGGGAGTAAAATCACAAACGTTAAAATGTCTTGGAACACATAAAATGTGAACAAATATAAATAAGTCACCTTACTCAGATTCTTATCTGTGATATGACAATCACTGCTGCTTTTCATGGTCGTTGAAGAGAACGCATCAAAAAACGTGTCCTCAGGAGCGCCTGGGTGGCTCAGTTGGGTAAACATCTGCCTTCGGCTCAGGTCATGATCCCAGAGTCCTGGGATCCAGCCCGTGTCAGGCTCCCTGCTCAGTGGAGAGTCTGATTCTTCCTCTCTCTGCCCCTCCCCCTGCTTGTGCTCATGCGTACTCTCTCTCTCTTTCTTTCAAATAAATAAATAAAATCTTTAAAAGACATGTGTTCTCAGGGCATCTTCCTATTTCATCTCCCTCTGCTACAACTTCCTTTTCTCTTTCCTCCAGCCTCTAGCCCCCAGTACTCCAGCCACTGGGCCAGTCATTGGTTATTATCTTTTGCTACTTCTATATATTTGTTCATGGGGCTCCCACTGTCTGGAAAGTCTACCTTTACTGGAAAAAAAAATCTTCATCCACAAGGCCCTGGTCTTCCAGCCCTTCTCCTCCCACCCTGATGATGACCTCCCTTAGGACTGTTTCTTGTTGCTCCTACAGATGGGGACACTGAAGCCTGGTGTGGTCCATAACTGAGTTCTGGTATCTTGATATGCTGCCATTCTCGGCCCCCTAGGGTCAGATCATAGACACACGGTTCTTGATGTACACGTGATAGGGGTCACTGAGCTTGTCCACTTTGCGGGAGCGGGTATATCCCAGGATGAGGCTGCCCACGGTGACAGCAAATAGAAACATGACGAAGAGAATGTACATGTAGGAGTTGTCATCACGGCCAGGTAGGCTGGCCCGCCGCTCCTTAGGCAGGTTGTCAGGCCCTGCCCGGCAGAGCAAGTTGCTGTGAAGAGTGACATTTAGAGCCTTCAGCACTGCGTGCAGGCTCTCATACCAGGTCTCAGTCCTGTTGGTGGTCTCCATAGCAACAGGGATCCAAGGGGGCAAGGAACTGGAGGATGCTCTGTTGGTGACAGAACAGAGAGAGGGGATAGCTTCTGTCACCTGCGGCTTGAATTCCCTCCTGACCCCTTCAGACCCCAGCTAAAATCCCAACATCACAGTTTATTCTAGCTACCTGTTTACTTGTCTGTCTTCTCCATTAGACTGTAGGGTCAAAGCAGGCAGGGACCGTGTCTGTTTTACTGACTGCTATATACAAGCACCTAAGACAATACTCAATAGCCGCTCGGTATCTACTTGTGGAACGAAGCCTTCCTTGACCACTGTAACCCATATTAATCTTTTTTTGGATTCTATAAATCACTGAGATTTAGACTACTAGGACGTTCGGGCTTATTTACTCTAACTCCTTCCATTTTATGCACAAGGAAACTGAGACCCAGAGAGAGTTAAGTGGCCTGTCCATGATCAGAGAATACTGGAAGGAGAGCCAAGACAGAGTCCGTCCCTCTCTGTGATGGCCAGCTTAGAGCTCCTTTGGCTCCCAGGCCAGCTCCCGGCAGGACTGTGTGGCACCATCAGAAGACATTCCCCAGAACCCTCCTTCAACACAGTTCTTTTTTATATTCCACAGGCAGCATTTACAAGATGTTTGGGGATGGCATAGATTTCACTCTACCTGGAGGCCAGCGGCTGGGTCATTTGATCTCTCAAGCATCCTATGTGCCAAACACTCTAAGTATCCCCAGCTATTGGGGGGAAATTCTGTTGGAAATGAAGTGGTGGGGGAAGCAGGGAGAGGCTGATAATCACAGCAGACACTAGGGAAGAGAAGAACAGGGTTGGGCCGGAGGGTGGGGGAGGGAAAGGATCACTCAGTCTGGTTTGGGGTTTTAACTACCCCAGAGAGAGAGAAGGCACAGGCATCTCAACTATCCCGCCTTGTGACAGAAAGTCACTGTGTACCTGACGTATAATAAATGTTCCTTCTCCCTCCTCTCAGAGATTCTTAGTCTATGATATCGACTTTTTTTTTTTTTAAGTTTTTATTTATTTGACAGAGAGAGACAGAGTGAGAGAGGGAACACAAGCAGGGGGAGTGGGAGAGGGAGAAGCAGGCTTCCCGCGGAGCAGGGAGTCCGATGCGGGGCTGACCCTGGGATCGTGACCTGAGCTGAAGGCAGACGCTTAACGACTGAGCCACCCAGGCGCCCCTAGACTTCTATAATATAGAAAAATATCCAAAGACAGCCTTGTATCCTAGTCTCTGAAAAACCATGTCATTCCTTTTAAACAAGGCTCCACACTCACCTCTTTTGGGAAGACTTCACTGAGTGCTCCCTACCTCCCCCCCTTTTTAAAAAGATTTTATTTATTTATTTGAGAGAGAGAGAGAGAAAGCATGAGCGGGGGCAAGAAACAGAGGGAGAAGCAGGGAGCCCAGCGCGGGGTTTGATTCCAGGACTGTGAGATCATGAATGCTTAACCAACTGAGCCACCCAGGTGCCCCGAGTGCTCCCTACCCCTTAACCATACTCCACAAGGTTTATCAGCACAGCATTCCCTTTTGGCCAGCTCTTACATATAAGGCAATGTGTGGCTATTCTCTTGTGATTGATAAGGGTATCAGCCGTCTACATGCTCCTGGTCAACAGGGCTGTGTCTCTCCCTTAAGTCTAGGGGACTACCCTGTGACTGGCTGGGTGTTGTGCTTCCTCAGGGCCTACCTTGTGACTGGCTGGGTGTTCTTCCCTCAGTGGTCTTCAGTAAAGATGGCTACTTTAGGGACTTCTCCATAGGCCAAACACTCAGAGTTCACAGACTGGTTCCAAAGCCCTCCTTTATCTAGGCAGAGTTGTCAACCAACTGAAGTTAACAAACTTGACTATATCCAAATGGCCTCTTCCCCAGAAAAGATGACAGTTATGACCATGATCAATATTTATGAACAACTCTATGAATGCAGAAGTTGGGGGGCGGGAAGAATCTAAAAAATAGAGTAGTCACCCAGGACTGGCCTACATTTCATGCAAGGCCTTTGGGGCTCCCTGCTATGTGGTGCTTGGACTACCTTGTCTGGATGGAGGAAGGGAAGAGAACACGGGCTCATGGACTTAAGATCCAGGAGGCAGAGGTTTTCATCTGCTACCCACTTGTCAGGTAAGAAATTTCTGCCTTCTGTTTCCCTCATATCGGCCAATGGAAAGTAGCAGCAGCACAATGAATTAATGGCCCAACTAATCATTCAGCCAGTCATCATTTATGGAGGCCCACTCTTGGGCAGGCCTCATGCTGGGAGCTTGGGGAGGCTCAGACCCAGTCAGTCCCTGCACTTAGGGACACATTGTCAGCTGATCTATAATGCAGGGGACAAGCCAGGGACTACTGGGGCTTAGAGTAAGAAGGGACAAATTCTGATCAGGGCTCAGAGAGTTTCACAGTAATAGAGGCATCTGAGTTGGACCTTGAAGGGTTTTTTGGAAGTAGAGAAGGTAAGAAAAGCAAAGAGGTGAACAAGCATGACAAAAAGAATGTTTAGAATAGAAAGTAGCATAAAGGGGTTGGAGTGTAAGATGTGTGGAACAATAAGATAGGACATGGGATAGAGAGGCTGCCCGGAACAAGTCTCGTGGACAGCCTTGAGCTGCCCGGAACAAGTCTCGTGGACAGCCCTGAGTGCCAGGCTGCAGAGTTGGACCTTTATTTTGCAGCTGGGGAAGAGCCATGGAACAGTATTTTAAAAGGGGATACAACGATAAGAGATTTGTGCTTTGAAAGGACACTTTGGCTGTTGTGTGGACTGGAGAGGGCAAGAATTAAGACAGGGAGCCTAGTGACAAGGGTCTTGAAATAGTTCAGGTAGAAGACACAGAGTCCGCACAGTTTCCTCATCTGTCAAAACGATTGCCATCGGGAGTTATTCAATGGGTACAGAGTTTTAGTTTTGCAAGATGAAAAAGTTCTAGAGACCTGTTGCACAACAGTGTGAATACAGTTAATACTACTGAGCTGTACACTTAAAAATGTCAATAGGGTAAATTTTATGTATTTTTTTTTTCTTACCACAATTAAAAACAACATCATCCCTGCCCTGCCTCCCTCCAGGCTTGCTTAAGCATACAGTTTTATTATGATGAAAAAAATGTTTAAAATCTATTCTCCATTTTTGAGAAGTAAATACATAGACACAGTACATACAGTGAAGATGAAGTCTTCCTGTTCTCAGGGGTCCAGGACTCTCTCCCAGAGTAGTCACAGTTACCAGTTTTCTTAGATATCCTTACAAGGTAGTTTTAACTGACAGGGCAGAGAAAGGGCAACCTCAATCTGGAAGACTCACCAAAGAACAGGCAAATCCTCTGTGGCTCTGAGTCAGCTTCAGGAATCTCCCTGTGGGTGCCCTCGGGCTCCTCAGCCCCTCAGCCTCTTCAGGGTGTCTCTGGACACATCTGGGGTCTCAGTATTGACACTGGGGAGCTGGGAAGATCCAGAGCTGGAAAGCAGAGGACAAGGCAGGAAAGGAAAGAATCAGACACCCAGAAAACTCTTCAGAATCAGGGTGGATCCCCCAAGGCTGGGGCCCCAAGGGTTGTGCAATAGCCTTGCTGTGGGTGCTAACTCCCTTCCTCTTCCCCTCCCCTTCCTGCAGCAGCTGGGTCAGGCCAGTCTAGGGCTGCAGTTACAGGAACTGTGCCGTGGCCAAGGGACATCTGATTGCTGTCCCTCAACTCCAGGCCCGCAACGTCTCTATCGGGTGACTTTATGAGAAGCCTCGGTTTAACGTGTGGACTCCCGCTCAGGGACCAGCTAACAGTGCAGACTCAAAATATTCCCTTTCCCAAGGGTACCGGTATCTTAGCAGAAGCCTCTAAAAGGCTGAAAGAGCCTGAGACCCAAGGGAATGATGCGTGTGGGCAGAATGGAGACTGGCAGTGGGGCCGATATTTTACATAGGAACAAACGATGTTCTTCCCAATGAACCTTTTTGCATCGACTGGGTAGAACACGGTCACAGCGTCAGCACTATCTGTAGCACAGCTCCTTGTGCCAGAGAAGAAAATGGCACAGATGCGGTGGCAGTTTTATTTTTCCAGCGCAGGGGCTGGCTGGACCTTCAGAGTCCATCTGGTCTAACCTCTAGTTAACCGCCTTCAGCTTACAGTAAAGGAAATGGAAACCCGAGGAGCTGTCTTGGTTCAGCTGCTACTTGTGTGACTTAGGGCATGTGACTTCCCTTTTCTGGGCCTCGGCTTCTGTCCACATCTGTAAAATGAAGGGGTTCTATCTACATAATCTAGTAAGGTCAGCTCTAACATCCCACGAGGGTACAGGTCACAAACCCACATTGTGAGATTACAGGAAGTTGGATAGGTTGGTGGAAGAGGCATTTTGGGGTCTTTCTAGAGCCCCTAAATCACAAGATAGAGAAGGCTGCAGACCTTGTTCTCACAGATTAAGATGTAACTTAATTACATCTGAGGAGCCCCAGGACTGAGTTACACTGAACATTCCTGCCTAAACGGAGAGCCAAATCGGCTGACTTGTTCGTTTTTCCTCTTAACAGCCCATCTGCCCAGGTGATCTAGCCAGGGAAGGAGGCAGACTCTGTGCAGAAAGTGGGGGTGGAGGGATAGTGTGGGGGACAGGGTGGGCTCTGAGGTGGGGTTCAGTGAGTGGAGTAAAGATTCATGAAACCATTCATCCCTCACATCCTCCTTCAGGAACCTCTCAGGATAGACTCTGATGTTTGTGGTTCTGACAGGAGAGGCAAAGAAGCAACTGTTACGTATCTTTAGGTGCTGGGTTGGGGTAGGAAGGAGGGCCTGGGCGCAAGGTCATCCTGCTGGGTCAGGAGAGACAGAGAGCTGATAAAGGGACAGGTTGATTCTCTTCCCACTCCTTCTAGATCCAAGGATTGGCTGTTGGCATCACTGAGAATTTTGTTCCTCCTTCTGAGCTCCTTGGCTGCACTCATCAAGATAAGTCACTGATTATAAAGTTCATAGTGGGGGGGGAGATGGAGCTCTGCTCTGGAGAGTTCTTAACTTGAAACAGAAGATAGACCAGTTAAGAAGGAAGGTGAAGCGTGACTGACCACGCGGAAAGAGATTTTAAAGATTATTTAGAATCTAGATTCTAGGCCAACTCCTGCATTTTGTAGCCGGGGAAACTGAAGCTCCAGGAGGGAAGGTGACTTGCCCAAAATGGCAGGACAAGTGAAGGGCAGAACTCCGATGAGAACCAGGGTCTTTAGGGGCATGTGCCGTTCGGGTGCTCTTTCCACTACCAATAGCAACATTCCCTGGCATCTGAGTTGTGCATCACACCAAACACAGTCTCCTCATGTTCTGGGGTATCAGGTCCTCTAACTCTGCAGATTCTCACCAATCAAGAATCTGGTAAGGGGGGGAAGTTGGCATGTTTTGGAGGAGGAGTTAACCTTCCTTTATAATCTCATCTCCCATGGTCCTTTCTGCTCCAGACGTACTCCTGTTCCTCCAAACAAGCCAGGAGCACTCTCTTCCTCTACACTCTGTTGCTATTTCCTGCACATTAACAGGTTCTTCCTGAATGTTCCTTTTTTTTTTTTTAATAAACTCTATGCCCAACGTGGGGCTTGAACTCATCACCCTGAGATCAAGAGTCGAATGCTTTACCAACTGAGCCAGCCAGGTGCCCCATCCCTAGATGTTCTTGACTTGAACTCACAGGTGTCTAAGTTGGGGGTGGAGGTGTAAAGCTGTGATCTGAAGGATGAACTGGGCATCTTAGGTTTTCTTTCAGGTTTCTCCGGGGAAAAGAGAAACTCCACCATTGGTTCTTTTGGGTTCCCCACTGCTCTGTTTCAGCTACTCTTTCACAATGAATGTTTTAAGTGCCTGGGAATGTAGTAAAGAGAGGCAAGGCGGGGAAAAGTCACACAAAGAAGTTAGGGAGGGGATCCAAAGACAACCCCTGGGACGACACAGTTTTGCCACTGGTCCCTCAGGTGGTCTTATCACTCCATTGACTGGGGAGCCAGTGGAGTGGGAGAAGAGTTAAAGGACTGGACCTTAACAAAGAGTTGGGAGGAGACACAGGAATAAAATCTGAGCTGGAAGGGATCTTAATAATCATGTTGTTGGTACAAACCCCATTCAGCCAGAGGAAAGTAGAGCACCCCCTCCCTGAGAAATCACCTGCACAAGGTCTCAGTCCAGGGGTAGAGCTGGGACCACAAATAGGTATCCTGTCCACATACCATTCTACTTTTAGTTCCCTGTTGCCTGTAGGACAATCTAACCTCCTCAGATCATCATTTAAGCCTCTTTGGATGTGACCCTGCCTCTAGCCCCATCTCACCACAGCTCTCCCCAGTATGCTGTGCCACATGATACTGCACTGCAGGCCATTCTCCAAACATTCCTTGCACTTGTACACTTCATGCCTTTGTTTATGCTATTTTCTTAGGCAGAGGAGTTCCCTTCCTCTTTTTATCTTCCTGGTGAACTCCTATTCATCCTTCAAGACGCAGCTCCAATGTCACCTCTGTAGACCCTCTCCTGAGACACCCCCCCTCTTCCCCACTCCCTAGACAATTAGTCTCTCCCTCGTCTGTTCCTAAAGTGCTTTGCATAAAACCCTATTTGAGGACTGTGCTGTACTGAAAGTGTGTATGTGTGTGTAGGTATCGATACCTATAAATATGTATGCTAAACTATGTGCTGTGAGGTGTGAGGGCAAGGACCTGTACCTCATACATTTCTTTATTCCCTGGGCCTGAGCACATAGTAGGCACTCAAGAATATACGAATCAATGCCTCTTCTTATTAGACCATCCCCCATCCAGCACACACATACACATTCATGAAAACAGTTTACAGTGAGTACTTAAAGAGCAACTTCAAGTGCAGAAACATATACCATTTGGTTTGGGAAAGGCGGGTGCTCAAAGAAAAGAAGCCATCTTGGTCAAGTGGAGAAGTGACTCAGGGGAGGAGGAATTCTAAGCCTTCTTTGGAAGCCCAGACATTCCCTGTACCTGAAACCCATTCAATCCAAAGGGCAAACATTCTTGGCCCCAAAACACTAGCAGTGGTTTTGCCACCCTCTTCCCTGTGTACCTACCCAGGGTGTGGCGACACACATCCACCCATTGCACACACACAGTCCAATTTCCAGTCACCCAGCCTGTGATCTTGCCTTTCATGTGTGCCTTTGATGGTTCCAATCTTGGCTATGTGACCTTGAGCACTGCATTTATTTCCTCTGAAACTCATATATGAGATGGGGATAATTATCCCTGCCCTGTTTACCTTACATGGGGACTGGGGGAGACAACAGAGGGGAAGATGTTTTAGAAATTGCCAAATATTATAGCAGCATAAGAGAGAATTATTGGGCAATCTGATTTCCTTTTCTATTTCCCTACCCCACCTCCAGATTACCAAGAGCAGCCATCCCTATGTTGCCCCTCCCTCCTCCCTTTGGTTCTCTTTCCCTGGGAGAAGGAAAGAGAGGTTCTTATGACTTTCTTGATTCTTAGACACGTTTTCCTCCTTCGAAAGCTTTCTTTGGGGCATAGTGGCACAGTAGGTTAAGCATCTGACTCTTGGTTTCAGCTCAAGTCCTGACCTCAGCGTCGTGAGATGAGCCCCCCACCCTTGCTCCTCACACAGAACAGAGTCTGCTTGAGATTCTTTCTCCCTCTCCCTTTGCCCCTCCTGCTCATGCTCTCTCTCTCTCTCTAAAATAAATAAATCTTAAAAAAAAAAAGAAAGCCTTCCTTGTTTCTCATACTCTGATCAGCCCTATAGTCCCTTTCCATTTAGGGGTACCATTCAGTAGTCCTGTAGTTGATGGAGAACACACCAGAATTGGAATCAAGAGACATGCCCCTATTAGGCCATGTCTAGCCATGTGTCTTGGTTAAGTCACATCTCCACTCTGGGCCTCATGTTCCCCATCAGTAAGTTGGAGGTTTTGTCTTACCTCCCTCTTGGTAGGTATTTGGAGCATCCACCCATTTAGTTTATGGATAGAAATGTGTTTTGAGATGTGTGGAGTGAGTGAGGGATGAAGGTTGTGGGTTATCTTAAGGAGTCAAGAAAATCTGAAAGCAGTTTCCATGCCTCAAGCAAGGGGCTCCTCCATTTGGAAACCACCAAAGTGGGTTTCTTTGGATACCAGGAGATAATGAAGGGGCTTACACATTTACGATGCACCTTTGTAGGTGAAGTGGAGAGAACCCTGGACTAGAAGTGAGGAGACTTGGGTTCGTTCTGCTTCTCTCTGGTTCCTGGTATGTTCCTGGGCAAGCTATCTCCCCTCTGGGCCTGAGTTTCTTCATGGGCCCTCACACAAGGGTCTGTCTGAACTCATCTATTTTCTAGATAAGAGAATCCCAGGACCAGACCCATCTCCCCTCGTGTCACATGGAGTGTGCTGACAACAGGACCCAGAGGCCCATTTTACAGGTGGTGACCCAGGAAAAGAAAGTACAAGGCCTACAACGGGTAGGGGAC